TTGAGTATCTTTCTTATTAACCATAATAAAACCAGATTTATATAGTTTCTATTAATATGTATTAACGTGGCGCTTTTATTTTTATTTTAATACCAAAAAAAAACAATAAAATATAACATCATTGTTAATATATTTTACTCTATTATTATTTGAATTAGGGTTAATTTTGATTATAAGTTTTGTAATTCTTCTGTCTTAACACTTTAAATAACATTGAACAAAATTCAAGTGGTCTAAAAATCGGGAAATCTCGAGTTTATTATATAAATTTCCATTTTTTTAGAGATTGTTTTATGTCATATACAATACACAAGCCAAAAAAGAAAAATCATCAAAAAATGGATTAATATCCCCGTAAAAACAGGCCAAAACAAAAATCAGGGCGTTATTTTAAGTGTTAATTTGTTTTTATATTTTGTTTTTCATTTTTTATTGATAAAGTTATTGTTAATAATATATCTATTCAATAGCTATAATTATATTTTTAAGTGAATTTCAAGAATTAATTAATTTATCTCAGTATTTGATAAAAACTTAGTGACGATTTTTTTTTATTTCGAAAAAAAAATACAAAAAAATATTTTTTTGTGTTTTTTTTGTTTTTCGTAATATAAAAAAAAATAGAGACGTTTTAGTTGTCATAATTTTTTGGGTTGTTTTCCTGATTTATTTAATAACCAGCCAGATCTTATTTTCCAAAAAAAATAAGCAAAAATAACTCAATGGTACTTTAATAACAAAATGGAGCATAATAATTATTCTTTTTCCCGATTCATTTGATATTTTATACGCCAAAATAATACTATGTTGATGATTCGGCGGATAATAGTTCATTACTCGTCCTTTTTTCATCTCTAATAATTCACATCAGAAAAGTGAAAAACCCTGCTTCAACCCTTGCATCTATATAAATGAAACTCAAACTAGAATTTCACATATTTATGTTGCCAACACAAGACGGAGTCCCAACATTTAAATTAGTCATCGTAGGTGATGGAGGAACTGGTAAAACCACTTTTGTCAAGAGACATTTGTCCGGTGAGTTTGAGAAACGTTACATCCCAACCATGGGTGTCGATGTCCATCCAATGCTTTTCCAGACAAACTGCGGTAAAATTAGATTCGAAGTTGTTTGTTTCTTGAAATATGTAAGTTATGAACAATATATTTATAGTATAGTGGGACACTGCTGGACAAGAAAAGTTTGGTGGCCTTAAGGATGGATATTATGTCCAAGCCAACTGTGCCATTATCATGTTCGATGTCACATCCCGTGAAACTTATAGAAACGTTGCCACATGGCACAAGGACTTAGTTAGAGTCTGTGAAAACATTCCAATCGTTTTGGTCGGAAACAAGTGCGATGCTCGTGATAGAAAAGTTAAGCCAAGACAAATCTCTTTCCATAGAAAGAAAAACTTGCAATACTACGACGTTTCTGCCAAGTCAAATTACAACTTCGAGAGACCTTTCTTGTGGATCGCAAGAAAACTCACTGGAAATCCAAACCTCCAATTTGTCACAGACCCCAACATGTTGCAGGCACCTGCTTTCGATCCATCAACCATTGTCCAGCCAGACATTGATATGAATAATATGTCAATCCCAGACACTGCTTTCAATGATGATACTTTTGGAAATGGAACTGTTTAAATCCAGTCAGTAGATTGATTCTTTTTATGTCTTTTTGTTTCATATTATTATTAATTATATCATTACAAATTCAAACAGCCATTTGATACCATAAATGAATTAAATTATAAACTATTCAAATGGTTTAAACGGATTAAAGAACTCAATTATGTGTCGGTATTTCCAAAGAAATATACGATCACCATGAAAAGCACTAAGACAACCATCAACACTAAAATGATGAAGATGCCCCGCCCAGAAATCCGTTTGTTGTGCCCCAACGTCGCAACAAAACCCATCCCCAATGACCCTTGCAATTTCTTTTTGGCATCCTCTTCGTCAGACGTGTCCGTGTCATTCATATGAGGGCCGCTCGAATCGTCCTCTGCTTCAACGTTTACTTCCGTTGCCTCAGCAACCTTTTTTAAGCTCGAAATTTCATTTTTGGTGTACGAGACGTTTTGCTCTTCTTTTTCGTCTTCTGGTTTCAAGAGGAGTTGTGTTGTTGTATCGATATCTTCGTGTGCTATAGTTTGTAAGTTCGCGTCCAAAAACGGTTGGATGTATTTCTTTCCCGCGAAAATGGCGAGGAGATGCTCTTTTATTTGTGTTGGGATGTCATCTTTGCCAACAAAAACGGGAGTTTGGCACTGTGGACACTTTAACTCGCCTGTTGCATCATCAAATTCTTTGACAATACATTCTTTGTGAACAACACATAAACATGGCAAACGGACAACTTCCTTATCACCAAGTACAGCTTTACACAACGGGCATTCATTCACTTCGGGTTTGTTGTCCATCACATAATCTTTGTATTTACTCATAGTGCACTACCCATTATTTCTCTGTTACTCACAAGATACTTTGGTGTGAGGAACCTTTGAAAAAAAAATAAAAAACAAACGACTGCGTGCGTCTTAAACATACAATCGATGCAGACGTGCTTTTTGTGGTGGACGCAGTACAGATCAGTTGACTTCTTGCACTCAAAGCAAATCCCCATACTTTTTTTAGTTCTTTTTTTTCTCATTTTTTAGTTAAAAAAATCATTCAATTATTTTATGCCATTTTTCCAACCCACCTTTCGCGTCATATGTGCTTTTTGCCCACTCGGGAACATTCGCAACCCACGTTTTACCTTCAATTGAGTACTTCCAAGCGTGGAGCCAAATCAAGTGTTCTAATGGGTCACCTTTAGGACAATTGCAATCTTCACAAAACTCATCAAACACCCACCCATACTTAGTTCTCATCGCAAGCTCCTGTTCAGTATCTCCGTCCCGTGTTCTGGTGTTGTGGATATGTTCAAGTAAATAAGCAGAATCATTTGCAATTGGGTGTCCGACTGATTTCAGATGAAGTCGCAATTGGTGTGTTCTCCCTGTATATGGAACACACTCCACAACACTCGTGTCGCTTGCTTTGTCGTAAAAAATCCGCTTGAACCCACTTTTTGCTGAAATCCCTTCATCGCTCACATGGTGTTGTTGTTCTGTACCAAACCTATTTATCATTCCAATGAAATTCATAAGAAGTTAATGTTCTATAAATAAACCACCTTGGTAATGGTATAGTATAATACTAGTAAAATTAATCACAAACACTACCAAATGTATTGGTTTGTCAACAACAAGTGTCTCTGGAAATTCTCCAACAACACGTGCCAAGTATATCTTTTCAATCTCTTGGAAGTCTCCCACTGTTTTGTCCCTCAAAGCTTTTTGAAACTTCTGGGCAATTCTTTTTGTCTTAGCCAAGACAAGAACTCCACTTGTGTTCTTGTCCAGTCTATACACTAGTTTCAAATCATTGTATTTACCTTCCTCTTTGAGTATGGTTATGATACTGTTGTACATGTATCTTCCAGTAGGGTGCACTGGAATTCCAGCTGGCTTGTTAATGACTAAATACTCATCTGTGTCTTCTATGATATCAATATGGTGATCGGGTACTGGCGGTTCGTGAGCGTGGATTCTGCTGACCAAAATGTCATGTTCTTCAATGGTAACGTCCAAACTCTTCACAACAGTTCCATCTTTTCTTTTGATGTACATAATACCTCCCTCAATTTGGCGTTTCTTATTGTCATCTTATTTTATTGGTCGCTTTGCAACTGTTCAATCTTCTTTGGAACACGATAATTAATATAAACAAACAGCTTCTTCAACTGAAATGTGTTTAAACTCGGTGGTAAACAATTGTTTCAGTGTTTGACCAACCCACCTCCCTTTCACATCCGTTTGCAACACTTTGTAATTTGGAATGACACACCTGAGTCCATCTCTGAAGTAATAGCTCTCTGCTTTTTTCATTCGATTTTTTAGTTTCTAATTTCAAAACCTTGGTGTAAAAAATAAAATAAGTCAAAAATAACGTTTTATTTTGCCTCTACCTCGTTTGAAGTGTCTTTCACTTCTTTTTCTCCATTTCCATTTATTTCCTTCTTTTCTTCAACTGAACTTTCCTTCTCCTCTTTTGAAACTTTTGGTGTTTCTTTTGTTTCTTGTGGAACTTCATCAAGTACTTCTGCTACAATTTCATCTTCTCTGAACAACTCTTCTCCACACACCGATTTTGCTTCACTCACAGACATGTCAATATCGCTTCCAATTCCAATTGTGGCGTCACTTGTTACCAACATCCCATCAACTTCTTTCACTTTTTCCCATTGTGCCAAATCGAAAGTGTACTTAAAAGAGAGTAGTGCCTCTTCCTTCCAATTATCTCCACACACTATTTTCATCGCATCTTCAAGTAAGTTTTCAGTGTCATTTTCTACCGACAACGCTACATTTGTGACGTTTTCAATTGAAGATACAATGCATTGAACACACTTCCCTCTTAACGGAATTGCAACATAAAACCTCCTTCCAAATGGTAATACTTTTTCCCTCACTACTTGCATGTAGTCGACAGATTTCCCTTTTTCTTCTTTCACAAACGTCCTATTTTTAATCAATCTTTTTCCTTTCACTGTGAATTCGATCTTCTCAAAACGGTTGTCTGGGCTTGAGCAGTATGCTTCCCACAACTCTCCATTTTTCTTGACTTCTTTTACTTCATGCCCACATAAAAAGACACCCGATGCAACACTTGATGACCGGCTAAACCCTTGTGCAACATCACCATACCCGTATTGGCAGTACACAAAAGGTGAACCTCCATATTTACCAAGTGACTTTGCGTATATCATGATTTTTTTCACAACGATTTCAGCATTAGTTTCGTCGTTCGCTGCGAACATACAAATCCCATAGACAATAATGTCTTGACACACTTTACTCAGTTTTATTGTTTCTAAATATTTTCTGAGGGACCCTGCTTCCTTTAATCCTTTAAACATTTGTGTCTGTTCTATTGGAGTATCTTTGTCAAGATAAATATCGTTCAAAAATTTCATCAATTGTCTCTTCTCAATCAAAGACAAGTCAGTGCACGTGAAAAGGGTATTCTTTGAGTCCGGAACTCTGATGATCTTGTTGTTTAAGTACATAAACACACCATCGACCGCCAAAAAGTCGAGGTATTTATATATTTCAGACTCTGTGATAGTGTTCAACAAGTCTCCGTTGGAATAAAAGAGTTGTGGTGTTAAATCAATTCCAATAGATCGATCGAATTCAATTTTTGTTAGTGGAATTTCTATGGAGTGCTTCAATGCCAGTGTCGAAAGGGTTTGTTCCAATTCCCTATTACGGACGTACATCGACTTCACGCCATACAATGGATTAGGATCGACAACACAAACTGTTTTTCCTTGATGTGATAATGATGCAGCGATAGTTGACTCTGTTACACCGGTGCCAATGATGACATAGTCATAAACAGCTGTTTTAAATTCCTCATATGGATTGCTCATACTGCTTGCAATAATGAGATTCCAATAGTTTCAATGAGAAAAACAAAAAGAAAAGAAGATCAATGAAATAGAGAAACTGGAAATGTAAGTGGTTAAAAATCCAGTTTTTGAAAGTCAAAGATAAAAATAAGAGTGTCACCACTCCGATAAATAGACGATTGTATCAATTAGTTTAAAGTCTTCTTCCTCTTCTTCCACCCTTTCTTTTAGTGCAGTCGGTTGGGATTGGGGTGACATCTTCAATTCTTCCAATTTTCATACCAGCACGAGCAAGGGCTCTAAGAGCAGCTTGAGCTCCCGGGCCTGGGGTCTTCGAGTACACTCCACCCTCTCCTCTGATTTTGATGTGAAGAGAAGTGACTCCGAGTTCTTTGCATCTCTTAGCAACGTCTTGAGCGGCTGTCATAGCAGCGTATGGGGAACTCTCATCTTTATCGGCTTTGACTCTCATACCACCTGTAATTCTAATGATCGTTTCTCTACCAGAGATATCGGTCACATGGACAAAAGTGTCGTTGAATGTGGCATAAATGTGAGCAACTCCGAAAGCGTCTTTTGTTGAACCTTGGATCACGACATCACCAGTTTGTGCCTGCTTTGCTGACTTCTTTGACATCTGCCGCTTACACTATCAAGTTTCAGGGTTTCTTTTCGCTCAGTTTTCGTTGTAGTTTCTTGTATGGTTCTTATTAGTTACTTTTAACTTCTTGCTATAACATTTTTTTTTGTGTTTTTCTTTTCTTATTTTTGTGGTTTTTTTATTTTTAATTGTTTTATAGCTCTTTTACCATACATTATTAATCTATTTCTATTTTAAAAATCAAACATTAATTGTATTAACTATATTTAAATAGTAAATTAGACACCAGATTCATTATTTTTTAATCTTGACTTTTTGTTATTGAAAAATAAAAAAATACAATTAAAGTAGTTTGAGATAGTAGCTGAATTTGTATTTCACAACCCGACGTTTTAAAATTTAACAAACTTTGTAAAACTACATGAAGAACTCAGTTGAATCATTACCAATTTTTTATGAGACCGTGTTATTTCAAATTTTACAATGTATCCAGTTTATTGCTAAATTAATATCCAAGTCATTTAGATAGTCATTGATTACTAACAAAAGTGTTTTCAAGATGAGTAGAAAATCAAATAAATTTTATATGAAATGTAAAACCAAAAATATTTAGAACAAAAAAAGTGTAAAAATTAAACAACACCAAACAAACAAAAAAATATCTTGTAATAAGATTATATAGTAATTAAATAGTAAAAATATTGTAACTTTTTCAAAAAAGTTTAAAACTTTAAAAAGAACAGGTAGTAACTCAAGAATAACAAAGAAAAGACGAAATAGCGTAAATTGCAAAAGAGTTGCCACATAATGGGTATCAAAAAAGTTAATAATAATAATAATAAAAAGATGGGTACATTCCTACAAAAAGTATATTGTTCAAAAATATGGTACAACAAGTCTTAAAAAGGATGGGTATAAAGTCATCGAACTAAACAAGTAGTATCTAGATGATAAAAATAGTGTGGAGTCCAAAGTTTGGAACTCAAAAATTCAAAGAGCAATGTCAGACGACATCGAAAAACAAGAAGAAGAAATTAGACGTATGGAGGAGGAAATGCGTCAAGAAGAAGAAGATATGAAGCGAATGGAACTTGAACTTCAGGCTGAAGAAGAAAGAATCAAACGGGAAGAAGAAGAAATTCAGCGGGAGTTAGAAGCTGCTGAGGCTGAAAAGCTTCAAAAAGAGAAAGAAGAACAAGAGCGAAATGATAAGGAAAAAGCCGAGAAAGAGGCTCAAGAAAAAGAAAGACAGGAAAAGGAACGGATTGAAAAAGACAGACTTGAAAAAGAACGTATCGACCGCGAAGCCAAAGAACAAGCTGAAAAAGAAAGAATTGAAAAAGAGAGGCTTGAGAAGGAACGTATCGAACGTGAGAGGATTATAAAAGAGAAAGAAGAACAAGAACGTATTGAAAAAGAAAATGTTGAGAAAGAAAGAATTGAAAAAGAACGTCTTGAAGCCGAAAGAGTCATAAAAGAAAAAGAAGAACAAGAACGTATCGAACGTGAGGCAAAAGAAAGAATCGAAAAAGAAAATGAAGAAGCCCGAATAGCAAAAGAAAAAGCTGAAGAAGAAGAAAGACAAAAAGAGAAAGAAATAGAGGAAGAAGAACGTCGGCTCCGTGAAGAAGAAGAACGTGTTGAGCGTGAGTTAAGAGAAGAAGAAGAACGTATGAAGCGAGAGGAGGAAGAATTAATTCGACAACTAGCTGAGGAAGAATCAAAGAAGGCTGAAGCTATTGAAAAAGAAAAACAAGAACAGTTGGCGAATGCAAAAAAGCAAAAAGAAGAGGAAGAAAGAAGAACCAAAGAAAAAGAAGAACAAGACCGGATTGAAAAAGAGAAAAGAGAACAACAAAAAGCAGAAGAAGACCGTCTCGAACAAGAAAAGGCTGAAAAGAAACGTGCTGAAGAAGAGAGAGCAGCTCGTCTAATCGAAGAAGATAAGAAAATGAAAGAAGAAGAACTTCAAAAGAAACAAGAAATAGAACGTCTTAAAAAAGCGAAAGAAGATGCTGAAAAGAAGAAAGCGGAATTAGAAGCTCAAAAGCAAAAAGACGCCGCTGACATAAAAGAACTTCCAAAAGATAACAATCACGTTGACGATGAAGGGTTTATTGAATTGGATGATCCAGAGCCAATTAACAATGCAATTTCTATTCATAGCAACGCAACGGAACATTCTCAACCAATAGACTTAGACCAACTTATATCGGAAGCTGCTCCACAACCAACACATATAGTTCGTCGTGTTACAAAAGTCAAAGGACATGCGGCAAAGGCGGGTATTAATGGTAATTTGAAAAGGGAAGAAATTAAGAAAGAAGAAATTCAAACGACTGATACCAATGACATCGATTTCACCATTTCAAGTATAAAAGCCACTTCACCAAAATTGGCAACCCAAGGCGGATTCTCGTTGACAATTACTGCGGGTGCTGTCCCCAAAAAAATGAACCCACTCATGGAGGAAATGCAAGCAAAACGGTCGAGAACTGGAAGAGCGTCGTTTTCCGTCAAACCATCATTTAAACACACAAACACTTCCAAAGAGAATAGTCCATCAGTGTCACCGGCTCTTATAGACGACCCACTCTATGCAAATGTGACATTTTCTAACGAGACGGATGGACTCAACACAAATGTGAACTACGCCAAAATGGTAAGAGTGAGTGGGAAGATGTACATGAAGTGGAGAGTTATTGACAAATCACCTGACGCATTGAATAGTGGTGACGCTTTTATGGTGGACACCGTCGACAAAATTTATGTCTGGATTGGGAAGGATTGTAACAGACTTAAACGGACAAAGGCTTGTGACGCGGCTAACACAATTAAACATAACGAGCGCCAGGGGAAGTGTGAGATCTTTCAAGTACAACAAGGAAAAGAAGATGAAGCGTTTTGGACTGCGCTTGGTGGCAAGAATGAGAACATCAAAATTGCTGACGCAAAACAAGACGACACAGAAGACAAAATTGCAGACGATGAGTTGTTCTTATTGGACGAAAAGAAAAATGATTGGGACGTTGCAGAGATAGTCAACTGTACTCGTGGGAAGATGACACACAACTTGTTGTACCCGTGGAAGATTTATGTGTATGATGCACTTACAGAGGTATATGTCTGGGTTGGTCCAAAGTCATCACAGACACTCCGTAAGATTTTGAAGCCTGTTGTCGACAAAATTTTTGAATCGAAACAAAGGCCTGCGTGTGCTCAAATAATGAGAATTACTCAGCAAACGGAACCGGTTTTGTTTAAAGAGAAGTTTGCACAAACGCAGGGGACACTGACTGTTATCCACAACAAAGATTGCTCATACAGTGAAGAAGAAATTAATAAGAGTCGACAACACTCACAAACAGTATCATTGAGTAAACCAACGCCAAAATACGGACAGAAAAAGGAAGAAAAGGAGGAAGAACTTCAAATTGACGTTCGTGAAATTTTGGGTATTCCAGACGACTCGATCGTTTTGCAACCGTCCAAGGATTTTATCATTCAAGGTGGTGCAATTCGAGTGTTTATTGTTATTGATGCTCAAAAAGAGGAAATCCCAGTCGAGAAGCATGGCGAGTTTTACAGTGCGAACGACTACATCATTACATACAAAGATCCCAAAGACGAGCAAAAGATGTTCTTCTGGCAAGGTAAAGACACTTCCATTAAGAGTCGAGGAACAACATCAATATTGGTGACTTCTATGTCGAAGTCGCTTGGTGCAAGCACAACAAGAGTTCCACAAGGCGAAGAGCCACACGCGTTCATGCAGTTGTTTGAGAATAAGTATTTGATTCATATTGGTGATTACCAAAACCACGAAGAACTGAGAAAAACAGAAAGACTTTACCAAGTGAGTAATACAATGTATGAAAACACGTGTGAGTATACAGTACAACGTGAAATGAACAAAGAGTTGATTCATTCATCGTCAACGTACATTTACTCAACGGCTGATGAACTCAAGGTTTGGAGAGGAAAGTATGCAAGTGAAAAGAACTTTGAGACGGCGATGGAAGCTGTTAAACGTGTTGATGCAAGAGAGCCGACAATTCTTTCTGAGGCAAAAGGGGATTTCCTTTTCACAGAAAAACCATTTGCATTGAATTTTGGTCGTGTCCAGCCAAAGTGCTTTTCGTTGGTTTACGAGAAGCCACAAATCAGAGCAAAGCCGATGCATCACTTCACTTATCAGCGATTAAAAGAAATCACCCTCTTTACATGCGAGAATGGTATATATTTGTTAGTAACACAACTTAAAAAGGATGCACTAACGCCGTATATCGCGATGATTAAAGAGTACGAAAACAAAGTCAAAGATAACTACTTTGGTGGGAAAGTCCCCCCTATCTTTGTTGTACACTCCCTCAAACATGTACCTAAAGAAATTGCTGCGATCACACATGGATTTGTGAAAGGCGCTATGAAAGGAGTTGATGTCGAGAACGATCCAAAAGAAATCATCACATTTGACAGTCTTTGGGATATTCTTAACAAAAAGTATACCTATGAAGAGCTTCTCAAAAGACCAACATACCTTGATAAAACAAAATTGGAGACTTATCTCTCCGACGAAGACTTTGAAAAAGTATTCAAAATGAAAAGAGACCAATTCCTTGCGAAAAAGCCCTTCCAACAGGATCCACTGAAGAAGGAAGTCAAACTGTTTTAATTTCAATTCTTTTCACTTGTCTGTTGTCTTCTTGTTGTTATAGAATTGATTTACTCTTCTCACCACATTCCGAATAAACTCAACACTTCGATGTATTTCTTATTTCGGTTTTTTTGAAGAAAGATGTTAATAACATAACCAATGAGTAAAATACAAGTTGAAGGATGTCAAATGAAAAATCATAAAGAAAAGTGTAGCTTCTGTCCCGTTTTATGCGATTGATTTATAACGACATGTATTTCAACATATTCACTTTCTTTTTCATTCGCTTCTAAAAAGCAAACACAAAAAAGTAATAGTTTATTAATTATAATCAAATATATTAAAGTGCAATTCCAGTAAAAAGCCTTTAGAACTAAGAAAAAAGCAAAAGGTAATGGTTTGTCGTTGACCTTTCACATGTTTTGATAAACTCAAACAGATTCTAACGCCCAGGCGAAATTGGAAGTCGTCTATCTGATGAACGTAGTGAAGTATTTCGACAAGATGGATACGTTGCGATTATTTATCAAAGTGAGCAAAGGATGCAAAGACGCAGTCATGCGGACTAAGATCAACCCCGAGTATGGGATGACAACACTTTCAGTCGCGATATCAAATTCGCGCACTAAAAACGCCAAGGCTGAACTGAAAGTTTTCGAAGGAATCGAGACGTTTTATGCAAGTTATATGACTATCGAGGCTCTTGGTGCAGAGGTTCTGCAAAACATTCCGCTGGTCTATGTCCACAAATTTGTGATGCAAAACAGTGAAGAGGATTACCGTGTGATTAGTGAAATAGTCGAGAAGATCAGCCGTATAGGCATAGACACGTCATACTATTTTGACCCAGGATTCGACAAGATGATTAATTTGCGTGAGATCTCAATTCGGATTGGGCAGAATTATAAGGCGGATATACTCTCGAGTTTATTTAGTGCACTTCCCAAATTGAATTATCTTCACAAAGTTGTCATTCAATGTGACTCAAATTGCCTCAAGGATGCAATGAATAGAGTTAAAGCACTTCATGAAAAGACACAAGTCATATTCATCATCGATTGGCTCCATCAAGACGACGTTGAAGCGGTGAACGAAGTGGTTTGTGGCAGTTATGGCACTGTTGGTATTGTGATGATCAACTTCGACAATTTCCATGACTTCTTTGTGAAGAAAAACGTTGTTTTGATTCCGTTCTGCCCTTACAATTTCCAGGTCTCCTCGAAAATGGTCTCAGACCCACGCTTCAATGAGTTACTTCGAATGTATTTGCCGATTCGTATTGAGATTCAGGGTGGTATCAGACCGAGTGTGCCATCTCCTGAAAGTAAAGTAGTTGATTTGAGTGGATGCAACTTTTTGTACGAACTCTTTTTGAACGAAGCAAGGTTTAACACACGAATCACACTGAAGCTTCCAAAGTGCCTTTCGAGGATGTTCATCAACAACATGGAGAGTATTGAGTGTCTCGACGGTGTCGCGGAGACCAACCTCCCTCAAAGCATCAAGGACCGTTTTGCTGAAAACATTTTAAGACAAAACTGATCAAGTGTTTTAGGTTTAAAAGACGTTTATTTGTTATGCCATTCTCTTGCAATCCAATCACAATGATCTAAACTGAGATTTCACTTTTTCAACTTTGAGACCTTCCGCCGAGCACTTTTATTTGTTCAATGGCGATACAAAAAAGACATAGAACATATAAGAGATGGTGAGAAGGACCACCTACTGATTTTTCCCTTCTGTTTGAGAAAAGACCGGGGTTTTGTTTTGGTAAGATTTTTCACATAAAATTCTTAATGGGAAATTTGTTGCTTGCTTCTCTTGTCTATTTCTGGCCCTTTTTATCAGTAATTAAAATCTTTGAAAAATAATTGATAATGTTTTGCTTTTTAAGTGTCTACAACATTCTCTTTCTTGGTAAAATTCAGTTCGATTTGCCGATTTTGTTACCGTTTTTTAAATCCCGCCTTTTAAGTCCAGTTCGTGAACGTTAAAAAGAGTTTTCTTCTAAAAAACTGTTTTTATCAATAATAGCCAAGTTTTAGTCGACAACGTGGTCGTTTTTATCTATAACTTTTTATAGTTCGAACATTTTGAGTGTTGAGAATACCATATCCCGATTTCTGTCGTGTTTTTTGAGTTGATAGATGGGTTGTTCACACCACTTGAAAAAAGTGCAATTAAAACAAAAATCAATTCGCTTATTATTCCAAAAATTCGCTAATTTCAGCTCTCAAAAAAGTAGAAAAAAATCTGTATAGATCTTCCCTAAAAGTCATTGAACAAATCGCCCTAATATTTCGAGATCAACTTTTTTTTGAAGATTCGAAATGTCCCGAAAAAAGGAGGTGTCGATCCGATGGACTATCAGAACTGAAATGTGGTTTGAATAACTCAAAATGTTTTCAGACGAAAGGGTCACTTTTCCTTTTCTCAAATCTGAATGTATCCAGAAATAGCGCCTAGTGTGATCAGAATTGCTTTTTCTATTTGCTCAACACTACAATTTACTTTTTATTGAAAATACAACGCACTTTTGTGCAGTTTAAACGAGTGAAAATGGAAAAATCAGAACGGAAAAAACGGAAATCGCCCGTATTATTCTTACTTCTTACGCGCAAAATAATTCCATTGTGACAACAATCTACATTATAGGCAATATGCTACCCACTTGGCACTTTCCATTTTTTATTCAGAAATAAGCAATTAATTGTATTACAGACAATTATTAATTTATTAATAAGTATAGTACATATTCAAGATCAACAGATTAATTACTTACATCGTTTTTTTCAATAACATCACCCACCCCATTTTTTCTGATTAATACAAAGCAGTCGGCGGTGGAAAATGTGCGCAGGGTTGTTTCTCAGTTTATTGCGAAACCCTAATTATTTTAGCAAGTGTTCCACGTTTCTCTGGAATAGAAAAGAAGGGGCAAATCTAAATGGCGCTAAAAGGGGCAACACAATAAACTTTGAAAATGCCATATTTAGATGGGCGTTTTTTTTGCAGACTATAAACAACTCACATCCAAAATAACCAGTCAATAAGTCCGGCGACATGGAGACTAGAGACTTTAAGACAAACTACGCGTACAACGCAACATCATCGCCTTCCTGTGACTTCTCGAAAAGCGTCGACTCTTTCCCACATAAAGCAAAGAGTGTCTCGAGTTCTCCAAAGTACGTCGCCAACAAACGCGAGCTCAAAAATTTCGACACATACCAACAGTCCTTTCTCATTGGCCTCTTAAACAACCACTGCGGATGCACACTTAAAAAGCAGCGAAAGCAGACGACGGTCACATCGACAACACCCGTCCTCAAAATCCTTCATTTTCAAGACGAAGACTATGAAATCATGCAACTTGCAGATGCATATTGTAGACCAGAATACGTCGAAGACATAAAGACCGGAATGTCTAAAACAACTGCTTTTCGAAGAATTGACAAAAACAGGCGGAACTTCACACAAAATCTCCTTATCGACATTTGTATGGAGTTTGGTTATTTTTTTGAGAGCTGTTTATCGCGGAAGTCTAAGAAGACTTTGCGTCTTGAAAGGATCCAAGAGGTGTATAATGGCGATAAACGGATGTTCAGCCAACTCGACATCACTCAAAAGGGGAAAAAGATCAACGACTACTTTGTCAGTGAGTTTCAAAAGTCGTCAGTCGTCTCTATAGAAGTAAATTGCAAGGTTATTCAAGAGATCCTTTGGGGAAATAAATAGAAAATTAATATGTTGTTATATTGTGATTTCGGTTTTTTCAAATGTCTCATCACTTCGTCTCAAAAAGTGTTGTTTTTTGAGCTTTTACACAACAAAGCAAGCAAATATTATTAGGAATTAGGTCTATTGCTTTCTTTTTCCTTTTTTGTATTTGAAATTAAGAAAAATACGGCTCAAAAAAATAAAGAAACGTGGTGTGAATGAATGTGAAACCCTAAATATCAAAAAACAGAAATATAAAGTCACTCACCACCCATACTTGTCTCGCGTCTTCTGCATCTTTGCACTATTCACAGCCTTTTTTTCAGCAAGCTCTTTCTCGTGTTGCTGGACGTCATACGCCAAAGCAGAGAGTTGGTTCTTTGATTTGGAAAGACCATTTGGCTCATAAAACTTAGTTTGCATACTACTCTACTCATTAGTATGTTATATGTCTACTCCTTATGCCTATACATACTATATAACAAACAACAAATGGCTTCTCCTTAATCATGTCTTCTTCGTTTTGTTTGAGTGCGTCTGCCGCGTTTACTGTGACAGCCTTCTCCGAGAGTTTTTTAAGCCGCTGCTCTTGTTTTGACATTTTCCGAGGCGCCTTTTCCTTCTTTTCTTTTTTGAGGTCTTTTGTTGTTTTTCCGTCCATCAGCCAAATTCCACAAAAAGAGTTGTAACTTTCTAAAAACAAAAACTAGAAAACACAATTTGATGCAGAAGATATTTGAGTATGTCTTTATCGGGTGGTCGATAGTAATGGGTATTAGTTTGTTATTATCACTTCTTACAACCATTTTAATCGATAAATTGCATGTCTTGCTTCGTATTTGGATTGACTTGGAGTGGTTACGGTGACTGGTGCTTTGCATTTCGTTTACAACACATCAGGTTCGTTTTATATCGAAGGCCTTAAAACAAACCCTACACTAGCGGTGATACTCGTTGCAGTGTCTTTGATGGTGATGGGGCTTTTGACAATATTGTACCCTCTGTATTACACTTTTTTCAAGCGAGAGTCCTTTGTCAACTCAAATTGGTTTTTTGCGTTGTGGTACTTTATTCTATCATGTTTGACGTTTTTTATCACTGGTGTTCTTGGGCTTGTCGTTGGAATTTTGTGTTTCATCACGTCCGTTGTACTGCTTGTTGTTCTCATCATTTTGAAAATACCAAACAACTCCGTCGCTCAACAACTCACTTCAGAAAATAATTCGACAAACACCACTCCTCAGTCGACACAAGACATAGTAGTCTTACAAACAGAAATGTCACAAACAACCTCAGAAAATCCATCACAGAATGTGCAGACAGAAGTCGTTTCTCAAAGACAAGACGACGAGATTTAAATGTATTTTATTATTGTTCACTTCATTCTTGTTTTACTCGGAGCAGACACACAGACATCTCTTTTACAAGACAGACTCTTTCCTCTTTTTACTTTAAAAAAACACTTCATTTTTTGTTTAATTAATTGGGTTTGTTCACCTATTAATGTTCCATTATTATTCCTCTTATCACTTTTAAAAAGCTTGTGTTTTTAAAGTAATAACAAAATTACTTGAAGCAATAAAACATTTTTTACTGAAAAAACTAAAAATTCTTTGAACTCTATTCTTTTTATCCCCATTCAAAAATTCCAAATAAAACGATTTTTTAACTTTTTTTTATAGTTATTAAATAAATAAACAAATAGCATATATTGATATAAATAATAGTATTAAAAAAGTCGAGTTCATAAAGTGGTATTTCATAGGATATGATATTTTTTTTTCTAAAACATCAATGTTTTTTTTAATGAATCACATAACTAAAAAAAATATTTTCTTATCAAAGATTACAAAATGATCTAATACAGTTGGTTGTTTTATTAATGAGGCGTTATTCATGTATTATTTGTAGTATTCTGCATTTTTTTATTTGAAGATGTTTAAAACAATAATAAAAAAACATTTATTAAGTTTTTCAATTTACTTCAATTGAATAACTCAATACTAATCAGAAATACCATTTCCCGAAATTGTAGATGTTTTATATATAATAAAAAACTACGCTACAAAAAATAACAATAAATGTAAATAAACAACTAGAATGTAGGTATTGAAATACAATACCTACATTTTGGGCATATTTTGTTCAAAAAAATAATAAATAATAAATGTCCAATTAGAATGTTATTATTCTCTTAGTCTTAAAAACTTAGTTTAATTAAATTAATGGTTTATTTTAATAATTTGCAATCAAATAAATAATACTCATTTCATTTCAGTGTTTTTTTTTCAAAAACTAACATAAAAATAATCACAATGCAAATATTTTTGATTATTTTATAACCCTTTTATGTTTTCCCACATTTCGTTATTTATTTGTGCTCTGTCAGAATTACAAAACAAAAAATAAATAGAACACAAAAAGAATATATGGATAAAAGAACTAAAAATACTCAAATACATGAACCCATTTGATGCTTCGAGCTGCTCGTCAACATTCACCGCTATGAACAACGGCTCGTTTCCTCAGTTCCAACAACAACTTGTTCAACAACAACAAGCCCAACACATACAACAACCACAGGCCCCACAACAAATGCAACAATTTCTCCAATTCACACCACAAGTTTATCAGCAGGACCTCATGTCTCAAAGCGGATATCAACAAGAGGTATATCAACCGGAATTCATCAAACAAGAGACTCTCAACCAAAACTTTCAACAACCAGTTTACCAAGACGTTCCACAACAACTTGTGTTTAAACCACAACAATTCCAGCCAATGTCTGCACCAGTCTTTTACCAACAACAACAGCAACAACCTACGTTCGTCCAACCAAATGTCTTTGTCTCTCCTATTAGATATGCTCCTCTCTCTTCCGTTGTCAGCGACCCCAGACTTCTCCAACCACAAGAAAAAGTGACACGATATTCCCCACTCACAACTCAACACCCCTCTAATTACGTCCACGCACGTCTTTCTCCGCCGCCACCAAACACCACGGTTCGACGGGATATGGCTTCATCAGGTGAAAATTCCCCAAGAACATCATTGATGTACACCACAGTGGACAGGTCAAGACACTTCTCCCCGGACTTTCCGCGGTCTTTTTCTAATGACCGCACGGTTTTTAGTCAGCGTGCAGACTCGCCGGACTTCGGTTACGACCTTTCATATCGAAGTGTGAAAGGTACACGACCGTCCCTTTCTGAAGACTCCGACTACGAAGACCGACCATACTCCGCTCCACTTAAAGCTGCAAGAAAAGTCATTCCTGATAAAGACGTGTTGCACACGGGAGAGTACACTGGAAAGATGGAATTTGAGACGTTGGACGAAGCCATTGATACCATGATGGCGTGGGCAGACAGTCAAAACGTTGTACTGAGGAAGGGGAGTGGTAACAACAAAACGATGCGAGACGGGTCAAGGAAGAAACAAGTGTTAGTATGTCAGTGTTCAGGGAAGTATCGAAGTTGTTCATATTCTCCAAAAGGTGGCTCTTCTAACTCAAGTTGTGACGAACCACAACGGGTCGGATCACCGAAGCCCCATTCGAAAAGAAAGTCGAAAAAGACAGAGTGTCCATTCAGAATTAATTTGAACTTTCAGACGAAAACAGGAAGGTGGAACATCACGAAGATAGTTCTAGAGCATAACCACCCCTAATCTCTATGTAATTCTTGTTGTGTTTGTCTGTTAGGTTGATTCATGTTGTGTCACACCCGACTCTGAAAACAAGTTTAAATAACATTGTATTACTTTAATTCTGTCATCTGTCACGAAGGCTCTCCATCTCAATCGGCTCATCTGTGTGCTTACGTCTCATCACAACAACAACCATCACAACAAACCATATGAGGATCAGCACACCACATACCGTAATGACCGTCTTCTTTTTCTCAGTGAAGCCAAAGTAATACGTGTAATTCGTCAAAAACGATTTAACACTCTCTTCAAGCTCTTTAAAGTCACTCTCCATTAAAGCACCACGACTCGCTTTTTCTAACGCATTTGATAACAACACAGAGAGTTCGGGCCCTCCACGTACTTTTCTAATCGAAGTGTATGCATCTACTCTCGCTTTGAGATGCTCCACCTTTTCTTTCATTGTGACAGACTCTTGAGCACCACCCTTTTCTCTCACTGTCTCAACTAAGTTTTGTTTTGTTTTGTCTTCCACTCCAATCTCTTCAGGTGGGTGTGTAGTAGCTTTCTCTTTGTTTTCTTTCAACTTCTCCTTAAACGTTTCTCGTAGTTTTAAAATCTCATCCCGTCGTTTCTTCTTTTCTTTTTGGTCATTTGTTTTGCTGTTCTTGTGCTTCGGCTTTTTAGGGACTTCCACTTCTTCTTCCTCTTCTTTTTGGTTTTCTTCTCCTCCAGTTTCTGGCTTTTTTTCTTCTTCTGGTGTTACGTCATCAGCCTTAGGATCTTCTTCGTGTTCCTCGAGATTTTGCTTCTGTTTCTCCTCTTCGTCTTCATTCGCTCCATTTGGTTCATCATTGTCGTACTTCTTTACCTCATCCTTCTTCCCACTCTTCAAATCATCCCACATCTTCTTCGCTACTTTGATCTTCTTTTCTAAGTCAATCAGCGCAATGTCTTCACCATTTTCTACTTCATCCAACTCTTTCAAAATCGAGTCATACACTTCGTCTTCTTGAACGATATTTGGGTCGTCCTTGATGTTCATCAACAGCTTTTGGTATTCCATTCTCTTTTGTACAATAAGTTCCATCGACTTATCACGACTTCGTTTGTTCTTAATTAAAACAGCAACGTCCTCCTTTTTATCACCAACTTTCTTCACCTTTTCCGCTTTGACACTCTTCACTAAACCCATCGAAAGGGGTACAATCTCTAACATAACGTTTCCTTCAACTTCGTAATCGTCAAAACAGTTGTCTACGTCGTACTCAGTCTTTCCCGGTGTATACATACACAACTGGATATCTTTATTCCCATTCATTTCAATTTCCACCGACTCTACATTGTCATCCGGCAACTTGTAATTCTTCTCAAAGATTTGTACATCACTCCCACCAACTTTGACATAAAAACCAAATGGTAAAATGTCATGGATAAGTGGGAGTGGACTGGCACTCGTTAACACGCCATTAATCGGGTGCATCATCCCATACAATCGCATTCCTTCGAGTAATTTTGTCATCTTTCGTGAAACCTTCCCAAAGACCTCCTCCACTTTCTTACTGATAATCGGCGTATATCCCAGTCCTCCAGTCAGATACACAGCATCCACACCTTCTCTCATAGGCATTAACAATTTTACTATGTCGTCAATATCACTTTTGATCAGTTCTTCAAATTCAGACCGAACCAACACAATCGGCTTTTCCATAAATTCAGTGATGACTCTCTCGTTTGCAGAGAGTTGTACACGGAATGCATCAACTGTTTTCCACAGGGCTGCTTCTTGTGCGGGTGTCATCGTATTGATCTTTTCAATCACCTGCTGCCGGTTTTCAAATTTTTTCAAGATGAGGATTAATACCATTTGGTTTAACTTTCTGGTGTTAATCAGAAAAGATGTCTCGTGTTGGATCATTTCAATTTCCTTTCCTTTCACTCGAAATTTTGTAGCTCGGAAATACGACGCCCCAAACTCCACTACAACAACCGTCTGATTCTTCTTTGTTTCTTTAATATCTTCTATAGCATAATATTCAAGAGCGTGAAGAATATGATTTGGTGCAAACGTAGTAACACTTTGAAGAGCTTTGGCTGCTTCTTTTTGGTCTGGTATTTTACTTGTATTTTCAGTTTCTTTGCCTTCTTCTTTTTGTGTCAATTTGTCTAAAACTCTTTTCTTCAAATTGTCTGTTTTCTTCGTCTTTTTAATTTTCTTTTTCTTTCCTTTAGTTTTCTTCGGTACTTTCACTGTTTTCTCTTTGGGAGTTTCTTTGTCATCATTCATATCATCGATGAACTCTTTTAACATTTCGTCTCCCGTTTTGCCTTCATCTTTTTCATTTTGTTCCTTCATGTCCGGGTCACTTTTCAGTACAAATTCCTCTTGGTCACTCAGTGCATTGACCCCAAGAGATAGCGTTTCAATTTGTTTTGGTTGATAAAAGGAAGGTATTGAAATGACATTAGGAAAGTCACCACTCATTTTCGCTGTCTTTCCATCAGCCAATTCAATGACTTCGTCGAGTAGTGATGATATCAAAAATCCATACGAAATCGTGAGATTCCCTGCAAGTAATTTCAGTGGACTTTCTTCCCCAACAGTGATATAGTCTTCTTCTCTCATCACTTCAATAGTTCGTTTTTTCTTATTAGCGTCATTCAGTTCTCTCGTTATCCCATTAAGTGTCATTGGATATTTAATAGGAACACTTCCTTTATGACTCATTTGTCTCTCTCCCTTCTCTCCAACCAACACATCACCGTCGACCTTAAATACCACCAAACTGCTCACCTCCTTCTTTCCTGTCTTTGTTTCGACCATTTTGAATTCGGTTGGTAACGACCCATACATCCCCACCTTCGTTTTTTCTCCACCAACGTCGACAAGTACATTATTTTGTGCTTTCGCGCTTGCAAAAAGAAATAATGATAGCCACAGAAACATCACTATTCTAAGTTCTAGTCTTTTTGAGTTTGTCCCATTTGGATTTGTTTATTTACAATTATTACACTAGTAAAATAGTCCAAATTAAAAAAGAAGTCGAAAAAAGACAAAGAACAGAATAAAACCCACAAAGAATCAATTTTACTCCTTAGCATTTTTTGGTGTGGACCTTTCCTGCCTTGAAGGCTGGGGCGTATCTTCTAGAGACGAGGGTTGGTTTTTGGTGGAGGAGTGGGAATTTGACGTGTGGACCGACGAATTGTCTCAAGACTGGGTTCTTGACGTCCTTATCGGCAATTGTGGAGATCGAGATGATTTGGATTTTGTCTTGTCTAGTTTTGTATTGGGAAGCCATGTCGTTGTACATTTGTGTAACAGCACCGACTCTTGTGACGTCTCTGTATTGTTTAGTGATGTTATGAATTCCACCAGATGAGACGTATCTCAAGAATATTTGGAAGTTCTTGACGACGGTTGGGTTCTTCTCATAGATTCTAATGCACTCAAGGAGGGATGCATCAGCCTTCTTGATTTTCTGTTGCTTCTTCAACATCATCCAGAATTTGCTCTTCGCCACAACAAAATTCGGCGCAAACACTCGCGATCTGAAGACTTCGCTCGATGGCCCAGCTCGTGTTGCAGTAATATAGAACTCCTTCATGAGTGTTTGTCAAATTCAAGTTCCATTCCCTCGTTTTCTCTCCACTAAACCCTTTTTACTATTCTTACTAACTCTTTTACTTCTCTTTCTAGTTTCTTTTTTTGTACTTTGAAAATATGTTCCTTTTTCTTTTTTGTATAGTTTTTATTTCATTTGTTATTAATTGAGCTGTAGTTTTAAACCATAACAAATTAACAAGTACTATACACTTTACTATTCGCTACATATTTTCAGAATCACAAAAAACAAAAAAAAGATTGAGAGAACGATGGAATGGATCATGACTAAAGCCAAATTGGACGAGATTACAAAGACCTTCGGAGAACCCGAATTGGAGTATAAGAAGAGGATGGTTCATTGCAGGAATATCAAAAAGATTGGCAATGTTTTAGGGTTGTTTGTTTCTCTATTTACTCAATTAAATTTTAGGTGACATGATGTGACGTACAGAAACTCGAAAGTGGTGTCGCTTGCGCAGACTGTTTTCATGCGTTTTTTTCTTAAAAGGAAGTTGGAGGGGGTGAAAACGGAGTATGTTGTAGCCGCCTCCCTATTCTTGTGTATGAAGCTGGAAGACTGTCGAAATCGTGCTATCGAAGAGTTGATTCGCACAACAACAGAAGTGTTACACATCACCTACAAAATGGAAGAACGGATGGTGTTACAGTTTGAGCGTGCGGTGTTGATTGGAATAATGTTTCGGTTGGACATTGACACGCCACACACATACCTCAAAAGATTAAGTGTTTTACTGAAAGTTGATATGCAGATCTCAATTGCAGCACACAACTTTGCAAATGACATGTGTTCAACATATTTACCACTTACACATCAACCGTTTTGTCTTGCAATTTTAGCGTTCTGTTTCGCAGCAAAGCAGAGTAAAATCGAGTTGATGTATGACGCAGATTTGCTCAAAAATGTATGCAAAGAGCTGAACATCCCAATTCCAGATGATTCTAAAGACAAAACAGGGCAAATCAATCTCCTTCTTTTCTTTACTATTCGAGCAGACTTTGTGCAACAAGCGATGACTGCTCTCTATCTCTTTTACAAGCCGTAATACCATTATCCATTGTGTTATGTTCCCGTTTATTAAGTGATTGTTGGTGTGTTATAGTGACATAAAGGCCAAAAACGATCAATCGACTTTCTCCTTGTTTTCCTCTCCTGTTGTACTCTTCTCAAGCTTGTCAAAGCAGAACATGACATATATCAGACTCATTGAAAAGGGGGTGTATACAACAATCCCTGTGAATGCCATCATTGGGGTGAATGCCAATATCGAGACATCAGCATATGTCTCGTACAAGATGACACTTGCTCCAATTAAAGACGTCGCTGCGCTCCACACTTTGCCTACTTTTGTCATTCTTTTCTTGTAAAACAACACAACAACGGGAACAATACTGGCAATACCTGTACACGCTGCGGTGACAAGCGCAAGTGGTTGGTTCAAATAGACTTCCACGGCGATATAAAATACTGGCAACAATGAGCTGAATGATAAGTTCAAGCGCAGTTGAGCCAAGTCATGTGTTGAGAAGAATGAAAAAATGACTGGAAGAAGAACTGGAACAACGCCAATAATCACCAATGTGGATTTCTCAATATCAGTAAAGCTTTCAAATGTGTATTTGTCTTCAATCGACACCTCATGCCACCCAAACACACAGAGATACGCGACAAACAATCCCACACTCACTAAACTGAAAAAGAAAAACAGACTAATTCTGGGGTGTGAGATTTCAGTCTTTTCCGTTAACTCTGCGTCCTTAGAAACAATCAATTCGCCATCTTTTCCAGTCTCTTTTGGTTTTAAAATGTAATAAACAGCTTGTGGTATTACAGAGGCAAGCACCTACTCATTATCATTTTTATATTACTGACGTACCAACAACAAACAGTGAAGAGAAGCGGTGAAAGAAATGCGACACACAGCCCGATGCACACAGGGAATGGGAGATACTTCTGTACATCAGTGAATATATAGAAATACGTCGAGTACTGCAATTGTTGATAAAGGTTGTTAAAAGACCTAATTAAGGACAGATACGACGACACTAAATATTTGTGTGGAACCGAGGTGGAGACTTTTGATGCATTGAACGTTGTTTGAATTTGTAACACATCGATGTCGTGTAAAGGTCCGTTGTAAGTGTCTGTGTATCTAATGGTAGACGCTTCCAATAGAAGTGATTGTAAGAACGAAGGTGCATATTTAGAGAATGGGGTAATGATATCCATATTACGGTAGAGATATTTCATGTTGTGGACATACCCATTGACGATGTCTTGATTTGGTTTTGGTGTTCCTGAAATGACTGTGTGGAGTTCTGTTGCTCCGTACAACGATGGCTCGATATCGAGTTCAAGTCCTGCGATTATCCTTCCGCAAATGGGCGTTTTTATATAATTTGTGATGAAGTCGTTGATCCCAATTTTTGTGGTATCATCCAAAAGTGCAAAAAGCACATTCCTTGAGATCCACACCTGTTTCTCAAGCTCCGAAGCAAGCGCAAATACTGAAGACAAAGTGTTAAGTGAAGGAAATGATTGTGGGTTCAGTGTTGAGTTGGGGTTTGTTGAGTATCTCCCAACCACCAATATACAAGATCTGTCTTCGCTTCGTCGCGGACGAAGTACAGACAACACACCCGTCAGATTGTATTGGTCAGAATACACAGAAGTGTCGTATCTCATCCGTCCCATGATTTCAATCAGTTTTTCAGTCTTGTTTCGACTGCTGATGAACTCGTTAAACATCTCCTGTGCTTTTTGTAGCACCTCAGTTGATACGGTTTCTCTGATATTCATTGCGTGAAGGTTGTTGTCATCGACAAAAGTTTTCATCGAGACAACATCGGGGTTGAGAGTTAGGTACACAGCGCCACAAAAAATCGCCAATATGAGTATCACCCCTTTCTTCCGAGTCGATTCAGATAAATACTCCATTCTCTTTTTTTGAGATTTAAGTCTGAAAAAGCTGGACATAATTTTTTTTATTCACACAATTTTAATTCAAGTTTTTTTCAGTCAATTGGTAATGTTCTTGAAGACAATGAAATTAGAAACTGTAGAAACAAAAACAAAATATGTGTAAAAATAAGAGCAAAGGTTCTCTCTCTTAACAACATGCAAGATTGTATTTTTATGAGACTTATATGAAAAAAATGATGGGAAAGTGTTTAGTACTTCATAATCTAACATATGTATGAATGTATGTATGTATGTATGTATGTTAAAAAACAGACTGATGGTGTTAAAAATAATTGATATTCTAAACTAGTTAGTTTATTTATTAATTGAATCTGGTATTTAAATTTAATTAAATTTATTATTATTATTATTAATTTTTTCAAATAAATATAAATATATAAACCTATTCATTACATGAAAATAGAAATTTATAAGACTTATCAATACTAATATAATTGTCAGAAAAATCTTAAATAAACAACATGATAAATAGAAAAAAAATGACTAAGATCAATCCATTTTATTTTTTGCAAAAAAATTGATTGATTTTTTCAAAAAACAGACTAACCCTCAAATGGACGGAGGAGAGAAAAAGACACCACATCGGAAGCCAACAGCAGGACCAAGGTATCGCCGATTAGTCGAGAAGAAGATAAAGAAGGCGATAAACAGACCGACTAAACAACAGAAAATTAACAACCCCAAAGCTTTTGTTGCTCAAACAAGTGTGGCGGCCAAGAGGCATTACTTGTTCAGTCAGACCCGTGTCCAAGAAACCCTTCATGTCCCAATTATGGACAGAACTGCAGAAATAGCTCCACCAATAACAATTGTTGTGAGTGGTCCACCCAAAGTTGGGAAAACGACGCTTATTCGCGATTTGATTAAATCGTACACTGGACAAACCCTAAAAGAAGTGAATGGCCCTATTACATTGATTACAGGAAAAGGTCACCGAATGACACTGGTGGAGTGTCCAAATGATATTGAAGGGATGCTTGACTGTGCCAAGATAGCTGATGTTGCTGTGATGTTGATTGATGGGAGTTTTGGCTACGAGATGCAAACATTTGAATTCATCAACATGATGCAGGCCCAGGGTTTCCCGAAGTTGATTGGTTGTTTGACACACATGGATGAATTCAAAAAGAGTAAAGGGTTGCTCAAGAAAAAGAAACAACTCAAAAAGAGATTCTGGAGGGAGACATATGGCGGTGCAAAGCTCTTCATGATGAGTGAGTTGTACCATTCCCACTACCCCAACATGGAAGTCAAAGTTATTGCTCGTCACTTGCAGACTTTGAAGCCAAGACCAATTGTTTGGAGAACAAACCACTCGTTCATGGTAGCAGACAGAGTCGAGGATCTAACTGAACCACAAGAAATTGCAAATGATGCCACAACAGACAGAAAGGTTGCTTTGTATGGCTACGTTAGAGGCACAAACATGCGAATTGGGTCGAAGGTATGTGTACCTGGTTTGGGTGATTACCGAGTCAAAGATGTTGAGATTCAAGTTGATCCATGTCCCCTTGAGAATGAAAGTAAGAGACTTCGAACACAAGTTCAAACGGTCCATGCGCCAATGTCTGATGTAGCCGGAATGAGTTACGACAAAGATGCTGTTTATGTCACACTTCCAAGTAAGTCTGACCCCACAAGAGATGGCGAGAATGAAGTTCAAGGTCTTATTGGGTCTGTTGCTGGGATTACATCACAGTTGAACCAAGACATCAACATAGTTCAAGGCCGTGAGAGGAAGGCTGTTGTATTTTCCGATGATGAAGATGGCTCTGATGACAAAGATGACGACAAAGAAGATGAAATGAGTGAAGAAGCATTAACCAAACCCCTCTCGTTGAAAAATCTGAAACCTGAAGAGAAAGAAAGTGCTGCGTTTGCCGAAGAAGGCCTTGATGCTGAAGAGAATAAAAAGGCATGGGGGATGTTACGTTTGAAGAAGCGAAGAGACTTGATGAAAGAGATTTATGATACTACAGTAAAGATGGAAGAAGACAGTGACGACGATGATGATCTGATGAAGCCTGTTGGGACCAAAGTGAACACCGATTTAGATCTTGACGACACAAGCAAAGCATTTTGGGACGATGCAGTATTGGACAAAATCCTGTCTGAAGGGAAGACTGACTACTTTGCAAAGTATTTCATTGCAAAGAGTGTTCGTGTGATAGACGATATGGTGGTTGATATGAATGGCGCACCAGCCGAGTCCAAAGACGTCAAAATGGAAGAAGAAGACGAAGATGACGACGGCCAGGTCGAAGTGGAAGCAGACAGCGACGATGAAGATTTGGACAATGCAATTGAAGTCAAAAATGGAGAAGTCCAATTGAAAGAGATGAAGAAAATGGGGAAGAAAAAATTAAAAGAGGGTATGAACAATGACGAGAAGACTAAAGATCAACTCAAGAAGGAAGCAAGGGACAATATTGATGCGGTCGAAGAAGAACTTGGAGAGTACAAAAACCCGTTCTATGACCGCGAAGACACGTTTTACAAGAAGGTTCAAAAGGAGATGCGTGCTCAAAACCAAGCCAACCACGAAGCATTCAATGAACTTGATCCCGAGTTGAAAACTCAAGTCGAAGGTGCAATTTCAGGCTCATACATCAAAATGACTATTGAAGATGTTCCCGCTTCTTTTATTCAGAAGTTCAACCCGAAGAAGATCATTATTGTTGGTGGGGTCTTGAAGTCTGAAGAACAACTGACAGTGATGCAAGCACAGGTAGTCAAACATCGATGGTTCCCAAAATTGGTGAAAACACGAAACCCTATTGTTATTAGTGTGGGGTGGAGAAGATATCAAACAGTCGCGACATTTTCTTCAGAGGATTTGAATGGAAAACAGCGAATGTTAAAGTACACGCCAAAGGGAGTATTCTGCTTGATGACGTTCTATGGCCCAGCATGCCCAAATAACTCGGGTCTTATTGCCTTTGAGACTGGCGACGCGTCTCCATATTTCCGCCCTTGTTTGACTGGGAACATCTCCAATGTCGACAAAGCTTGTGAGATCTCAAAGAAGCTGAAGTTGGTTGGAAAGCCCGAGAAAATACTCCAGAACACGGCATTCATTAGAGGAATGTTCAACACAAAGGTTGAAGTTTCCAAGTTCATTGGAGCGAAGATTCAAACGGTGAGTGGGATCCGTGGGCAGATCAAAAAAGCTTGTTCGAAACCACAAGGGACATTTAGAGCCACATTCGAAGCAAAATTGGCGAAGAATGATATCGTCTTCTTGAAGGGGTGGATTCCAGTCAAGATCAACAAATTTTACAACCCAATGACGGACTTGACAGGCGATGATTGGGAAAGAATGCGACTTGTCAGAGAACTCCGACAAGATATGAACATTGGAGTGCCCACAACAAAAAGGAGTTCCAAGTATAACGAAGTGACCAAACCACGAGAAGTCGAAAACCATTTGCAAAAAGTCGAGAGACTCAAAAGAGAAGAGAAGATGTTAGTTAAGGAAGCTGGTGATACGCTTTTAGTCCATCCAAAGACAATCTCAAGCTTGTCGTTTGCACAACAACTCCAAATCATGGAGAGTGGAAAGGTCGACTTAGTTCCCATCGAGTCCGTCAAAACAAATATGACCATTTTCACAAAGAAACAAGCCCCACCAAGAGAGAAAAAGGACACAATCAAGGGACAGCTGTGATTGACTGATTTTTATTGTTTTGCTTTACACAAGCACATCTCTTATTATACGAACTGAAAATTTGAATGCCGCCACTCCCATTAATTTGCTTATATAAAGTGATCGAATATTATGGCAAAAATATCCAATTTGTTTCTAAACGGGTGGCTAAGTTATATTCACACCTCCCACCAGGAGAGACTTATACCGTCAGATTTAAAAGTGATATGAACGAAATACCTCCCGTCAGACAACTTGTGGTCGACGGGCTTTGTATGGGGGGTGTCGCAGAACAAATTGAAAACATCCCGACATTGCGGTGCCTTAGAATACTCAGGGGTGGTGCCACAAACGAGCCACTGGAACCGTTTAACTTGGGAAAGGTCACGATGTTGAAAATTGAGGAACACAACGAGAGGTACCTTTCTTCGATTATAACAATGAAAAAAGGTATTGTGTTATTAGACTATGCAACAGATATAATCCAACACAAAAATGCTGTCCAAATCTACATAAAAGAAGAAAGTCGTTTATACAAAAAATGGAACGAGACAGTGGGGAGCCTTTATAAGGAAAACGAACTCATTTTGTCCTCATTGGAGTGGTACATCACCCCCGCCGTCGATCCAAAAATGCTCATTGATTATTACCCTGCAAAGGTATCCATCGAGTATTCAAAGCAGTTTGTCCCAGTCCTTCAAACCCTTCCATTACTGGAATTGACTATAATCGACAACGAGCAATTTCTTTTCCAACACACCCCACTCCAAATCGAGGATCTGACAATTACTGATTTCCAACAAATCGGAAAAGACTTGCTCAGACTCACCAAAACAACACATCTCAACATCACACCAGAACAAAACAATTACCGTCTCAAAAGCGGACTCCACCCTTCCGTCTATATAAGTGCTCCAAAACTAAAGGAACTTGAACTTGTGTTCCCAACTATCTCCGATTTAACAATGCTGAATTCACTCACCACACTGTCGCTGAAATCATGTGTAGGAACACTAAAATGCCCACAAAATTTAAAATCGCTCATTATCAAAAAATGTCAATTCGATTCCATTCAACTCACAACACGGTTGGAAATGTTAAAAATGTCGGAGATTGTCTCGAAAACGTTAGACTTCGATCCCACAGATGGTTTTCCAATGTTGCGCGAAATTGAAGCATTGAAGGTGGACTGCTCTTCCTTATTTTCCGAACCAACACGACTCACTGCCTTGACAAAATTGATAATATGTGAAACTAATACAGGCGCTTTCCTCCCACCAAATTTGAAGGAGGTAGACACAGACGAAGAGCTCGAGTTTGATTCATTCAAATCATTTAATGAATTAAAAGTGACGCTTTGTTGTGGCGAAAATGTGTACGTTCCGTCAATCCATACTTTCAATGGATTTGGATCATTCACTGGTAACATGTTTATCAGCGCAGAAAATGTGTCGTTATCTGGCACTTTCGAAAATATTGTGATCACAAGATTTGTGAACACGCTTGTGTGCGACCAATGTGAAATCAACACAATAAGCTTTCAGAGCACACTCGAGAAAATAACATTCACTGACGTCTATAACAAATTTGAAGAGCCTGTAACTCTCGAGAGCACAAATTACTCACAAATACTTCAAATCGCAAGGGGAAAAAACGTAAACAACGAATCACTATCACACTCAAATAAATAAAAATTTTCATCATTTTTCATAGTCATAACCCATTAATCATACCTATACCATTTTAACACAATAAAAACTTAAAACAATATTGGATAGTTACACACATCCGGTTTTTTGTTAAGATAATGTGAGATGTGTACTGAATATCATATATTGCTATAAAATTTTATTAATAAATAGTATATATTAGAACAAAGGGTTCATTCTTTAAATAGAAAAAAAAGGAAAATTGTTCAAGCACAAGAGTGTGAGAAAGGCATAGTTTAACCACAACAGTATGGTATAAAGTGTAGTATTAACAAGTCAATAAAAAAATGACAAAAGACGTTTCTTTAAAGGGATAAGTGACATATTATAAAGTTGGTAGATCGTATCTTAGAAGAATACCAAAGTTCAAAAGGAAAAATGTTTGAATTTTGTCTTCCCAAACATCACAAACCGTGTAGTGAGAAAAAATGTCTATCCTTACGTGTCCAAGTTTAGTCTTGACATCTCACACAAGTTCTGGTCAAAAAAATAAAATGAGTCATCATCAAATTCAGTATAAAATTAAACTACTCTCCTAAATAATCAAATTTTCGTCTGAAGGGCCAAAACTCTTGTTGGTTCGAACATATCAGGAAACACGTGTCCACAGAATGCTTTGGCGTTCGATGAATAAAACACATTGTCGATATCCCCGCGTATGAAACTCTCCTTCACATCTCTTCTGTTCTGCAATGAAAATAAATCCGCCACTTGGAAAAAGTAATTCGCACTATTGTCTCCCAACTTGAAAATTTTCGACCCATCAGTTCCACCATTTCCAGCCTGTTTCAAACCCGAATAGAACAGTGGTTTGCCAGTCCCCTGCTGATACGAAAACATGAAAATTCTGAAATCATCGATCCACTCCCCTCTTTTGACTTGTTCATAAATAAACACCCCAAAAAGGTGTCCAGATTGGTCAAATACAGTGAAGGCAATTTGACTTTTTCCGTTCACTTTGTTCACAAAGTTGTTCATATCCCACCCATCCTTATCCGTGTCGTACAACACTACTCCTTCCTTTGACTTCTTTTCCAACATCGCTACGAGTTCCGCCTCAACAATACTCCTCGCACTTGAAAAAAATTGTCTGAATTTATCTCTCGTCTCAAAACCAATTGATAATTTACTTCCTTGGTTGCTATCATCCCGTCTCTCAGTTCTTTCTCTTCTGTCGTCTCTCCGATCGTCCTTATAATCGCCTCGGTGATTATCTCTTCCATCATCATATCCCCCATCACGACGTTCGTATCTTCTCTCTCTTTCATCTCTCCAGTCATCTCTCACTTCTTTTCGTTTGTAATCTTCATCCTCTCGCGGTCTAGGTTTCTTGTCGTTGTACTTCTCATAGTCGCGAGAGTCACATTTCATGTGATATGCGTCTCTGATCTCGGCAAGATTACTCCCGATGCAATCGATAATATCCCGTTGCTTCGACTCGATCATTTGCTTTTCCTTCTTCTCCAGATCTATTATCTTTTCTAAGATTCCAATCAAGTCATGAGAAATATCGATGATTTCCGTCTTGTTCTTCACCATTTGCTGCGACGCACTGTATAACAGAGAAACATTAGTGAAGTTTTGTCCCCTCAAGTTTGTAATATCTA